AAAAAAGCAAAGAAAAAGAAAAAAGAAAGAAAGAGAGAAAGAGAGAGAGAGAGAGAGAGAGAGAGAGAGAGAGAGAGAGAGAAAATGGGGGAAGGAGGGAAAAGGGAGGGAGAAAAGGAAGGAGGGAGAAAAGGAGGGAGGGAAGAAAAGAGAGAAATGCACAATGTTCAACATGTTCTGTGAGAAGCAGACAATTTACTTAGCTTGTGCATGAACATGTCTATGTCCGTGTGTGTGTGTGTGTGACGTTTTGGCCCTCAGTTGCTTCACCAGCTTCACAGGAACAGTGCTGTGGTCCATTCAAGTGACCCCAACCACAGGTCACCTTGGGGCTTCTACCGCCAGGCCAGCACCAGGCTCACCTACTCAAAGAATCAGCTCCCTCTCCTGTCCTTTCCCCTTGGTCAGCAAAGCCAAGCCTTGGCCCCCAACAGTGCTTCACTTGCCTGTTCATGCACACGGCCTTCCTCACGTCTTGCACCAGCTGCCTCTTGTCCACAAGGCCAAGCCTTCTCTCTTTCCTGGTCCTCTACTGTTGCTTACCCAGATGGAGGTAAGAAGGCAGGCATTCCTCTGCAATGACTGGCAGCACTGAGAGGGGACAGGACCCTGGCCTAGTTCTTTTCTATTACCAGACCGCCAGCAACAGGTTATGCCCTCTGGGCCTCTCTTTCTCAAAGTCACTATCAGAGTTGTCAGAATTTAAGAGAAATGAAATTATACATGCAAGACACTCACTCTAAATCTAAATCCCCGTTCCAATGCACAGTGAGCCTACCCCTTCCCAGGTAGAGCTGGGAGCAGCTGCAGGTGGCAGCCACGCTGGGCGAAGCTCTCACGGCTCCACAGCAAGGGCCCAACCCAATGCAGCTCACTAGTCCTTAGGGATAAAAATAGCATGAGCTGTACTCAGCCTGGTTAATGGAAGATCTGAGGTAATTTTAGCAACAAGAGTCAGGAGAATCTAGAATTTCTGATGTCAAGGACCATGAATGGCTAGCACAGCACCCCCTTACACACAGACATACGGAAGTGGCAAGACTACCAAGGCCACTGCCTGGATTTGCAACACCTGTTCTTTGGAGTCCAGACTTGACAGGGAGACACCATCTGGAAAATCATCCTAACCTGCTGCAGCAGACTCTCCCCACAGGCAGGCCATACCTGTGTGAGCCTCACAACATTCCTGGGACATGCACGTTGTTACGCTGTGAGGAGTAAGTCAGGCTTATGTGACATCATGTGCAGAACCTGAGCTCTGAGCTTGCACCCAGCAGCTTCCTCCCTGCCTGTCATAGGGTTCTGCCTGATGGCCCCCAAGCCATTCTCTGGTCTTGGGGTTCTTCCCACTCTGGCTGAGACTCTGCTTGCCATGAGGTGGCAGAGGGTGGGGGCCAGAGGCAGGCCAGCACCCAAGAGTCTGCAGTAGCCGTGTTCTGCTGGATAAGTGGGGCTGCTGCTAGTCTTCGTAGCCAAGCTCTAACCTCATGGGGAAGGGGCATGAGAGGCCCCTGAACAGCAGGCATGGAGATCCAGGAGGAGGAGAGGAGCAGCCCAAGGTACAGGAAGTTGGCACAGAGATGAGAAGGAGGCACAGTCTAGCTGCCCATACCCCACATAGACTTGGTGCTACCCATCCTTCCACAGAAGAATGAACAAAGTCACAACCATTCAAGAGAACTTTTCTCCCAGAAGGCAAGCTGGGCCTGACAGAAACACCCTTGTGTACTACTCATCACTGAACATATTTACCAAGACAAGATGACACTTGAAAACAAGAGTAAATGCTGTGAAAAGGAAAATGTGAGTAGGAACTGAAGCTATGCTGCAAGGCCAGGGAGTGCGGAGGCCCAGTGACACGATGGGCAGAACAGCCCCATCTCAACAGGGCCCCATCACAGACCTTCCGGACCACAGAGCTGGAACCACATACTTCCTCAATGCAGCGACCTCAAGGAAGCCCCAGACAGTCACACAGGATAGGAGGCACTGCCATAACAGAGCAGCAATTGTTCCCAAAGATACAGGCCTAAACACTTGACGTATACAGGAGAACATATCCAAAATAACCCAACATTTAAGTGGGGAAACAACAGACTCTTCAGGACAAGGACTCCAAAAATCCTTTATTTCTATTTGTCTCTTCTATGTCATCCTACTTGCAAGTTGTGGTTGGAACAAGAAAGAGAAGAGAGAAAGAGGGAGGCTCTTTACTACCACAAGTTCCTAAAGAAGAATTCCAGAGGCCAAGGCCCTATCTCCAAAAAGAGTTCCCAACCTCTCTGAAGTGCTCTGCTGTTTTTCCTATCAATGGATTATTTATATAATGGTAGGGACAATTTTCTTTCTGTCCCTTTTTTGGAGGTAGGGAGGGACTCCTCCTGGATCATAGTCCTTGAAAATCCCCACAGGATACAGCAGTGATTACCTGGCCTTTGTAGGAAAATGATTCTCTGAAGGAGAAGATGCTTGCCCTTGATCATAGAGCAAGTCACAGCAAGGGTGGTGCAAAGCCCACCTGCCAGAGACAGGGTTCCCAGATGAATAGCAATGAGGAGAACTCTGCGTGTGTGTGTGTGTGTGTGTGTGTGTGTGTGTGTGTGTGAGAGAGAGAGAGAGAGAGAGAGAGAGAGACAGAGAGACAGAGAGACAGAGAGACAGAGACAGAGAGAAAGATCGATTCAGCGGCAAGGGATATCAGGCAGGCAAGGCAGGAGAGGCCACATATCACTCCCGTATGATAGTCCTCCTCTGCTCCTGTCCTCAAGACCCACATACTATGTAGCTGTCCAACCAAGGCAGACTAAATCCCAACCCAGCTTCCCACCAGTGCCTCCAGGTGACTCAGGCTCCAATCAGCAACACTTTACCTGCTCGGAGTGTAGACACAGCAGGTGTCTGTGCACAACTGAGCAGACTGCACAGCCCAGCTGCAGAGGGGACATGAGCTCCCTCCTGCACCTGCCTGAGGTCCCCCAAGGAGAGCAAGAGGGCAACTGGGACCTCTCTAAACCAGAGAGAAAGCACATTCAGGAAGTAGGGCACCTCTTGCACCTCCATTCACCTTCCTGCCATTGCCCCAAGTTCAAGTACTGTCAAATCCCCACATGGAATTAGAGGCAGCCAGGATTCCATTAGTGTGCGCTTCACTCTTTTAAAGTGGAATATGGTGGAGGGGCACGGGATGGGGCAGTCTCAGTAGGCAGCTTCCTCCTAAGCTCTGTTCCCTGGTGCACAGACCCACCAGAACAGGAGCACGGGCTGGCTCTTCCTGCAGGCCAATGAGTGCTGTCTTAGACATTTGGGCCTTTCCTCATTCTCCTGCCTTAATTACTATGCCATTCTGGACACAAGTAAATCCTCCTTGTTTCAGCACCAGAACTTTTCCTTGCCATTCATGCCATGGAGCTGGGGTGCAGGTGAATGCTCCGATTCAGATAGGCAAGATCCTGACCTGGCTGCCCACTGCCCTGGGCACTGGGGTCTTCCGTCAGCCACACCCACTCAGTCCCCTCCTGCCCCCCTCATCAGGGAGGCTGGCACTCTTCAGAGTTCTTACTCCTCACTGGACAAGAATCTTGGCTGAGACCGAACCTCAGAGGAGTGATCTCTGACCTGCCCCAGGAGGGTGGGCACTGTGAGGCAATGCATATAGTGCAAGGTTAAGTCCTCAGTGTTAGGCTGACAGCAGATTCCAACCCCCAGAACAGAGTTGCAGGCCACATCCTCTGCAGCGTTTCTGAGCCAAAGCCCAACTGTCTCTGCAATGATTCAAAACCAAAATAAAGCCTACAGGAAACAACACTCAGTCAGGAGTTGCTGGAATTCCTCAACTAAGGACACTGAGCAGTCACTGCTGCTTCCCTAGGCCTTTCCCAGTTCACTTGAGGAGAAGATCCCGGGCTCCATTCTGCACACAAGCCCCTCCCAACGAAATAGGCCCGCACCCTGCACTAGGCACACTGTAATAGGTAAGATGCTCCTCAGGCAAACCAGCTTGTTTGGGGACAACCTACCACATTAGAGATATAGCAGCTGGAAAAGCAAATCCTTTTACACAGAACCGGAAAGTCCTCCAGCTCCTTTCCCTGGGAACTCTTGGGAATCCGCTTTCCTTTCCCTCTTTCACTCTGACGCCCCATGGCCAGGCCCAGAGCAGGCCCGGAGCTGGATGGCCACCCTGCTGGCCAACACTCCCACACAGTTCTCAATGGATGGGGGAGGGGGGTCACTGTGGTGGCGGTAGAGCATCGGGCACACAGCCCAGCCCGGTAGTCCCTTGGGGACAGGGTGGAGCCGCTGGACCAGGCTCAGTAAAGGAAGTTTCTGCACCCAGTGCAGAAGGGAAAAGTGAGATTCAGAGACTCTTCTGTCGGTGGATTCCCCTGAAGTTTAAGGATGAGCCCCAGATATTCACACATATGCACATGCAAACAAACACAGGAGGGCACAGAACTCGAGTGTCTCGGGCACACCTGGACAGCGCAAGCAGCCACCGTGCACCTCTGCACTGACGACGTGCACAGGCAGACCCCAGGGCCCCTGCACACGCAAACACAAGAAGGCAGGGCCCTCAGCAGTTCGGACAGCTGCCCATTCCCCGCAGCATCCCCTCACCACTGCGCCTCCGGAAATCAGTCCCGGGGCAGAGCCGGAGGGGAGCGGTCCTTCGCGGAGCAAGGGACGCGACCGGACCCGGGGGCAGCGCCACCGCGCGGAGGGCTCCGCCTTTTGACACTCACCGATCTTGATCCTCACGCTCTGGAAGACCCGGAGACCCTCTTCCTCCACCGCCATGCTGCACCGCGCCTGCTCCCGCACCCGGAGGAGCGGGCGAGCCTTGGCCGGAGCGCGCCGGACCTGGGCTGCGGGCCGGAGCCGCTGCGGAGCCCAGCGGGCCGGCAGAGTCCGAGAGGCCGGGGGCAAGAGGCAGATTCCGGCAGCAAACGAGAGCGGCGCAGCACGGCCGCACTCTAGGGCAGCGCCCCCCACCCCCGCCCTCCCAGCCAGCCCCGCCCACACACCCGCCCATTGGCCGAGGGCGTGGGCGGTGGTTGGAGCCTCCGCCGTGCATCTGTCCCTACCCCCTATTGGTCGAGATCCCAAAGGTGGGCGGGTGTATTAGGGTTCTGCCATCATACCCAGCTTCCCACTGGTCGATCCTTGAAGGGGCGGAGCCTGCCGCAGAGGCGGGATGGGAAAGGACTCAGCTCTGGACGCTGGGCTAGGACGCTGGCCTGCCCGGAGCTCTAACGGCCCTCCGGCAGCTGCTTCGGCCCGCCCAGTGCCCAGCGGGTTGGCCGGAGCGTCCTCTTGGAGCCCCACTGCTGCCGCGGACGGCCCTATCCATAGCTTCTGCTAGGAGGAGAGACAAAGGAAGTCTGGGAGCCGCTTGGGTTATCTGCGGGCTCCATGGAAAAACCCACTTTCGAGATTTAAAAAGCAACATCAAACATAACACAGAACCTGAGAAAGTTTCTGGCCCAGCCTTAGCCGCTATGGAGCCTCCACACTACGAGAAGAGCCGGAGGCGAAGGAGAGCTGGCGTCTGCTGCACCACCTCTAGCCGCCCCTCAGCGCCCAAGGCCCATGCCCATTGCTTTCCTCCTGCCTGCAGTGCCTAACCCAGGTAAAGACGCATCGTATCCTCGTTGGCCGTGGGCTTCTGGGCAGTGGTGCAGAGCTCCCGCGGAACCTTCCTTACCCTACCCAACCTCTCTCCACATGGACAACTTGAAGCAGTGGCCTCACTCCTCTGCTCTGCTGCAGAGGACAGGCAGGCCAGCAGCTGCTCTGCCCTTCTTCCTCTGACCCCACAGATTCCTCATGACCCTGCACCCAGGTCTGGAATCCTTACGAGGCCAGGTGACTGCCTTGAGTGAATCCCAGAGTAGGTCCCTGTGGGAATAAAGGCACTGGCGTTTTGGGAAAGTGATTCCTCAAACTATGGAATGCAGCTCCTGCTGAGGGCAAGACAAAGACAAGATGACCAAATGAAAGGAAGTTGTGGCACAAAGGGCCCCTTTCGTACCACATGAAGGTACTCTTGTCCCCAAACTTGAGACAAAGTACTGTGACTCAGGCCAGGCTTTGATAGTAAAGATAACGGAGCCCAAGAGGAGGATAGGTGCCCACAACACCAAAGGCCTGCCACACCACGGTCAGGGCCTTGGAGCAAAAGAAGGGAAAACTTGAGGCTTAGATCCCAGTCTTCTGGTTTAACACACTCAGAAATCTTGACTCACAGATTCCTCTTGAGCTGTGGGCCTTAGGAGTTTCTTGTTTCCCTGTCACTAGAGACACTCTTGAGGTATCTGCCCAACTAATAGCATCACCCAGCTGCAGCCATGTCTGGTGGGCAGGACAGAGCACCAGTGGCCCCACTGCAGGATCTGAAAAATGTCATACACAGAATAGCTCAGATTAGCTCAGTGACTGAGGCACATCCACCATAGTAAGGACCTGGTGCCTTACTACCCATGCCATGAGGATGGCCTTTCAAAGTTTTTAAAAGCCATATCCCATATTTAGTGAAGTAAGAATACCAAGTTGTCGTGGCAGACGGCAGAGGAGGGTAAGTGGCACTGTGGGGTAGGCAGGCCCTGAGACTGGATCCAGGATACTCAGAGAATGAGGGAGTGCTAGTTGTGGCAGGACTGGGCTACTATAGAGATGCTGTCTCAGAGAAGACAGACAGTGACAGCCATCAGCCCCACGGCAGTGCAGTTACTCCATAAGCACCAAGACTGCACGGGTGGCCAGAGCTCCCCCAGCTGCAGAGCTGTCACAGAAGCGTTATGTTACCAGAGGCAATGTCAGGGGTCAGCCAGCAAGACTGGGTTTAGTTTAACTTATAAAACCAAAGGAAATTACAAATACCAGGAAGCTAACAAAATGTTTCCCATTAAAAATCCCCAATACTGAGCTGGGAAGATAGCTCAGTGGTCTAAGCACCTACCTGGCAAGCACAAAGACCCAGGTTCAATCCCTGGTACCACGTGCCATGTCGGCCCTGCACCATGCCAACTGCTAAAACCAGGCATGGTGGTAAACACCTGTAATTCTAGCACTAGAGAACCTGAGATAGGATCACTATGAGTCCAAGCTGTGTAGTGAGACCCTGTACCAAATAAATAAATAAATAAATAAAGGATTAAAAAATATCTATAATCCCTGCCCAGTTTCCAGAGCTCCTAAACCCAGAACCTGATGACTAGAGGGAAGACCTGGCCTCCAAGAACTGTACTTAGCACAGATTTCTTGGTGAGGAAGCTCTGCGGGCTCGCCAAAGGCCTGGCTACAAAGGGAGCTCAAGGCCAGCCTGAACTGCATACCAAGACCCTGTCTGAAAAACACCAAAAGAAAAAGAAAAAAATATATATCCATTTAGCTATTTACCCAGGTAATTTCATACCAGGAAAAACAATTGCTTTAGACATTATTATTATTATTTTTAGCATTATTATTCTGGGCTGGGGATTGAATCTAGGGCCTTTGTACTGAGTTACAACCCCAGTCCTTACACTCCTTTTTTTTTTTTTTTTCACTTCTTTATTTTAACCAGGGTGTCACAAAATTGCCCAGCAGTATTAGAACTTTTGATCCTCTTGCCTTAACCTCCCAAAGTGCTGGGATTGCCAGTGTGTGCCATCTTATCTGGCTTCTACTTAGACATTTTGAGGCCTGTTGGAGTCAGGGCCTCTCAGATAAGTAGAGAGTCCTCTGAGTTAGAGCTTCCCTCACAGCTGTAGTAATAAGAAACAGGAAAATACCCAGGGGTTGAGCAAAAGGTGGTGAGTTACTAGCTTTCTTTCATAATTCACTCTTTCTCCCTGTAATATAAGTATCTTCTCAAAAATATTCCTTGAGAAGTAATAATCTACTAACAAGTGAATATTTATTTATTCCTATGACAACATTATTGCATCATATATCGTCCATATCTGATCAGCCTACTTTCAAAGGATTTGAGGTAAACACAAAATAATGACCAGTATTTTAAAAGACATAATAAGCACTAAAGGAAAAAAATGATATCGGTCATCTAAGTTATGAAACACTACTGCCATAAACAGAAAGCTCAGCTCTGAGACTCCTGAGAGCCAACTTCAAAAAGGAAATGTAGAGAAAAGATATCTTACACATAATCCAAGCACTCAGGAGGCTAGGCAGGAGGATTGATGCAAGTTTGAGACCAGCCGGGGCCACAAAGGGAGCTCAAGGCCAGCCTGAACTGCATATCAAGACCCGGTCTGAAAAACACCAAAAGAAAAAACAAAGATATCTTACACAAGTCAAAATCTAATAAAATGAGAAGTATGTCAGTTTTTTCAGAAAAGACAGTATGTTGATCAACAACAACAGAAAAGTTTTTAGACAATTCTCTTCTATAGAAATGTTCAAAAAGTTGGGAAAGCTATTTTCACTCTCAAATGGCACTTGAAGTGCCGGGAATCTAGCACAGGTTCGCAGGTGCTTCTTGCGTGAATGGAGTCATTTCTTAATGTTGCTTCTTGAAAAAGATGGAAACATCACACAAGGAAAGCAGCTTTCCAGCACCCTGACGGACCACACAGAAAGACACCGCAGAGCCCCGGAGCTGAGCAGGTGGCGTGCTGCGGCAGTCTCTCTCGTGGGGTAGCTGTCTGGAACGCAGCTGGGAGAAGGCTGATCAGTGAGCAGGTTGCATTTGGCTCCTGGATGCTGCTTGTTCGGGTGTCCTGTGTTGTTGGTAGAAAGGCCCTAGTACAGCATGAGACCTGGGCACCTTGGGCCTGTGTGTTCATTCACATCCTAGTCCTCCTTGGCACAGGGGCCACACCGCCCACCTTCTCCACAACTTGCCCAGAAGTTGTGTGCCTAAAGTGCAAGGAGGCCTGGGCCATGTATCCCACAAATATTGCTGTTTGAGTGATGCTGGCTTCCTCGTGTGGCATCACCAGAGTAGTCTGTGCCTGGCCCCCCTCCTGGGACATGTGCAGGTTCTAGGGCCACTGCTGCTCATCCCATGTGCTCACTGGTTATTGGGAATGGAGACTCCAACTGTGTAGTGGGGGTGCCCACGGCTGGGCTGGACACCACTGCCATGGCTGTGAGCACAGAAAGCCTCTTCTCAGGGCAACTGCATGGTTCTTATCACAGTGCATCTAACTTGTTAGTATTGACTCTAATTAACCAAAGATCCAGGAGTTTTTGAAATTTTGAAATTGCTGAACAAGCAATTAATTAGAGTCTAAGTCTTGCCTTCCTAAAAATGTTGGGTTTTTAAAATCTTTTCTTTATTTGGTACAGGGTCTCACAATAATGAAGCTTGGACTCATAGTGATCCTCCTGTCTCAGCTTCTTCAGCACTGGGATTACAGCTGTGTACAACTATGGCATACCTAGGGTTTGGGGGTCAGCATGGCATGTGATACTAGGGACCAAACCTGGGTCCTTGTGCTTGCCAGGCAGGTGCTTAGACTGCCGAGGTATCTCCCCAAACTGCTAGAAATATATTTTTATTTTTATCTAAAATTGCCATGAAATTATTCCAAACACAGTTTGAAAAGAAACAGAAAATTACTCTTGAGACCCTTCTAGCACTCTAGTTCCTACAGCAGAATCCCACACAGTCTAAGAGCCCAGGGACTCTAGAGCCAAGGAAGTACCTGGTCAACCCACAGAATCTCTGGATCAGTCCCTAATCAGCTCAAAGAACACCCCCTCCCCTGGTTCAGACTGCCGGAGGAGCAGCCATCAGTATAGCAGGAAGTCTAAGACTTTTCATAAGCATCGTTGAAATGAGGCAAATTGGTCCATGGCTGGTAAAAGTGGATCCTTCTGTAAACCCTTCAATGGATGAGTGCAGTGTAACAAAACAAATACCCTACAGTCTTATCAATATCCACATGCAATACAGTACACAAGACGTACAGTTTGCTTGGTCATTCATTCATTTGTAGACTTTTCCTGCTCAACCCATGGGCAGCTGCCA